TTACTACTATTGAGCAAGGTACCACCTATACTGTACCTGTGCATTTGGTTTTTCTTGCCTAAATGTAGAAATTTTTAGACAGTCCTGGAAGCATTTGGAGATTTTCTGGGTCACCTGAGTAGCGCTCCTGATTTCCGTAGTCTGCATTTTCCCCCCTCTGGAAATCCATTTCTATTCCACACCCCAAATAGTATTCATCCCAAATAGTATTGTTAAAGGTCTGTAGAGACTCTCAGTCATCCAGGTCATGGTTATCCCAAAGGTGCTTTTTCAAGAGGCAACTGGACAGACTACAGAAAATAGGAGACTCTGAGGACACAGATAAACCTTCAAGTGCTTCAACAGTCCTCTAAAAGGATGCAAATGACCAGCTGTCTGCAAAGAGTGTAAATATTTCCATTCCTCACTATACTGTCAGAGACTAAGAAGTTTCTTGGATGAAAAGCAAAACGTCTTCAAAAGGAAAACAAAAACAAAAAAGTCCAGTTGACTCCTGAAAAAGCACCTTTATGAAGCTGGATGACTGAGAATCTCCATAGACAACCATTCATTTAGTGACTGTTCAGAGATACGATTGGTGTTTCCACTTTGCACAGTGGCAGCATCCTCAATCACACGACCAAAATTAGGGTGCTCGGCAACCAGTATGCATTTACGATGGTTACAGCATCCTGGGCTCATGGGATCGCCATCTGCCACTTTCCTAGCCTGCTTCCAACAAGCAAAACCAGGGGGAGAAGTTGGATTTGTTCAATGACCATGCGATTCACTTAACAATGGCACTTAACCAGGGCAATAAAGGCCACGGGTAGAAGTCACTTAACAACTGCCTTGTTTAGCAATGGAAATTCTGGTCCCGATTTTTCTGGTCGTAAATCAAGGACTACCTGTACTGCTACTTTGAGAAGCAGCTGCTCGAAAAAGCAGGTAACGAGGCCCTTGTTATATAATGTGAAGAAGCAAACACGACACGGCTTTACGGGTGGGTGATCAGAACGTCCGCCTCCCTGCTTTAGATCCAACGCCAGTTATGGGCCATCTCTTTCCGATGCTTCCCCGCAGACCTTGGGGCGCCTACCACATGGAGGATGGTGGGGTTGCAGCCAATGATGAAGGGAAGGCTTCGAAACCCTTTGATGCGGTGAGCAATACGGACCGGCAGCTCGTGGTGCAGGTAACGGGAGCTTTTCTGTAGCCAAAACACAAAAGGGGAGATTGTAAATCGGCGGGCTCCAACCTTTCTGGCTGGTTGGAACAGAGGTGGTGGTGGCAGACGGAGAAGGAATGGTTTCACACGCATGTGCTGCTTTCATAAATGCAGCTCCACATGCATTCGCCCACCATTTCCACAGCCCGGCCGTGGGCTGTAGACCAGGGGTTGGGGACAAATGTACATCATTGGATTCTGCTGCCTGATTACGTCCAATAGGAAGGAAAGGAAAGAAAAACATCTTAGTTGCCAAGGTGTTATAAGCCGAATCAGAGGAGGAGGCGTTGGAATCAGGGCCAGCATCAGAGCAACCTGGCAGCTCCAAGGGGGAAGAGGGAATGGAGCTGGCAGAGAATGAGAGAGGTGGAGCCTGGGCTGTCCGTCAGACAGAGAGCCAACAGCCCCCAGGTCTGGAGGTAGCTGATGAAGAAGAGGAAGAGCATCTGGGTCCAGTGCCTGATGCATGGCTGCGCAGAAGGCAGAGGAGAGGAGAGCCGTGGAAATCTGTGGGCCGATCCTGGGGAAGGAAGAGCCACCGCTGCTAGGGAAGCCCTACCCTAGCTCTGGGGATAAAAGGCAGAGGGCAGAGATGAATAGATGTGACAGACAACTATTCATCTTCCGGACAGACGGACTTGTTAAGAGATAAACAGGTCTGCCGGCACTCCTAATAAAGGAATCTTTTGAGTTCACGTCAGAGGATTTGTCGTGTTTGGGGAGCTGGGTCAGAACACAAGGTTGAGAGAAACACTGCATTAGAGGGTATCAAATAAATACATAACTGAAACAAATGAGATTCAAAAGCTTCAATGCACATACTAATAGTGGATGTTTGGAAAGTTTCCATCTCCCTTCTCAAGAGTTTCTGCTCTAGTTCCTCAGTTTTGGCATTAAAACTCATTATGCCCTCCACTTAAAGGACTTGACGGGAATGTTCTCCATGGAAAGATACAAGCTTGGCTGCATCGCCTATTATTCCCAGCCAACCTGGCCAAAGGTGTAACGCAACTCAACTGGAACACCACAGAGTATCATAAAGACTGAACTAAAGTCCAACAGTCTTGTTGAAACTGGACAGAGCTAGGCCAAATTTAGAGTCTGGATGGAGGTTTGCCTGGAAATTCAATCTNGTATTTTAAAGAACATTTGAGGGAGGGGTGCAGAATAGCCCTTCTCTGCCTGAGACTCTAGAGACCTGGCACCAATCAAAACACTGTTAATGAAGCCATTAGTATATGAAAATAAAAGCAAACTCAACTCCCTTCTAGTACTGATGATGTTACCCCCTTTGGTAATGAAACATCCACAAGAAAACTGTCAAGCTTAGAGAGCACCAAGGACCCCACAGTTCTACCCTGAGCTACCATGCTTCCCCGAAAATAAGACAGTGTCTTATTTTCTTTTTATCCACAAAATATGGCTTGGGCCTTGTTATGAGAGGAGGGTTTATTGTTTTGGGGTTGCCGGGTAGCTGCTCTCTTGCCAGTGGGCTCCCCAAAAGCCGGGCAGAGCCTCATGGGCGAATGGCTATGCTGCACTGTTGCAGCAGCGCAACAAAACAGCCATGAAGTGACCACACTCACGAGCAACCACCTGGCAAACCCCCTTTCCAGCCGGGCACAGCACCATTCACTGACCTAGGGGTATCACCAAGCCATGGGAGCGCCTGTTCACCGCCACCCGGCTCCCGCGGCTTGGCGTCTTCAAAATGCCAGTGAATGGCGCTCTGCACGGCTGGAGAGGGGGGTTGCACGAGCGGCTATTCCACTCTCGCTCATGCGCCTCCCAGCCTCATGATGCCCTGGTCCAGCTCTTCCTGCAGAATCAGGGCACCTCCGCTGCCGCCGCCACCGCCATCCCAGCATGGCTTTTTCGGCAGCTTCCAAACCAAGTCTTCCAGCAATGGCCACTCTGGGCATATTCTATGATTGTACACTCTGCCAGCAGCTGGCCCACAACCATAGAGTGTACGCCCAGAGTGGCCACTGCTGGAAGACTTGGTTGGAAAGCCGCAGAAAAAGCCATGCTGGAATGGCGGTGGCGGCAGCAGTGGAGGTGCCCTGGCTCTACAGGGATAGCTGGGCCATGCATCGTGAGGCTGGGAGGCGCATGAGTGAGCGGAACAGCCACTTGCGCACCCCCCTCCAGCCATGCAGAGCGCCATTCACTGGCATTTCGAAGGTGCCACGCCTCGGGAGCTGGGTGGTGGTGAACAGGCGCTCACGCAGCTTGGCGATACCCATAGGTCAGTGAATGGCGCTGTGCCCGGCTGGAAAGGGGGTTTGCCGAGTGGCTGCTCGTGAGCGTGGTCGCTTCATGGCTATTGTGTTGTGCCATTCTCCCATGAGGCCGTGCTCGGCTCTTTGGGAGCCCGCTGGCAAGAGAGCAGCCACCCGGCAACCCCCCTCTTCAGCTGGGCACAGCACTGCTCATAAACCTAGTGGTATCCCGAAGGCGCCAAGCAATGCGATCACCTTTGCCTCCTCCCCCGGTTCCCCTGGCTTGGCACCTTTGGGATACCGCTAGGTTGGTGAGCGGTGCTCTGCCTGGCCAGAGGTGGGGGGTTGTCCAGGAGGCTTATTTGCGGGGGAGAGCTTATATTTTTGCCCACCAGAAAAATGTGGCATGGCCTTATTATCAGAACATGTCGTATTTTCCGGGAAACATGGTACAAATATTCTTTTCTATCGCTAAACACTTTTTTGTTAGAGGGACTCAGAGCCTGCCTTATATGAGATGGCTCCCAGTGGAATTCATTCTAAATCTTGATATGATTTCTATAAATAAGGAATGAAGAATAATGTCTGAGTATTCGATCCCTGATGATTTCTATAAATAAGGAATGAAGAATGATGTCTGAGTATTCGATCCCTTATATATCAAAGCAATACAAAGCTAAGGGATAAACGGATATATAACCAGATTTGAAAAAAGAAAAGGAAAGAAAAAGAGTGAAAGTGTAAGAAAGAGGAATAGAAGGAAAACCAAAAAAGAATGTCTTTCAACTTTCTTTGGTACAAATATAAGTAAAAATATATCAATCTCTCTTACTCCAAGATTAACATTTGTCTACATTATTTCCATAATCCCGTATCTAATCATCAAAACCCAGATCAACTTTTAATTTCAGTTTCTCACAAAAAATCCAGTAATGGGTCATATTGCTTTAATCACTATTTGTTAAGGAAACCATAACTGATTTATTTGATTGCACCAAACTCTAAATAAAACAGGAATGGAAAATCCTAAACTGTAGTGAAGACTCATGCATCTCAACTTTGGCAATTTTAAGGTGGATGGACTTCGAGTCCAGAATTCCCCAGGCAGCATGAAGTTCGCCCATCTTAAACTTGCCAAGACTGAAAAACGCTGACCTACAGATAGGGATTTTTCCAATCCTCTTTACTGGTTATTATTTATGAGCAATCATAATGCAAAATCCTGACTTCCACCCCATTCCAGACCAATGATAATGCGAAATCCTGACTTCCACTCCCTTTCATTCCTTGACTAACCTGCCTTCCAGCTCTCTTCTCCTGCGTGCAGGGCAACAAAAATAGGCCATGTGACTTCCAGTTTAAAAATGTTCAGTCAGACTTTCCAACTTCTCGGGGGAAAAAAAAGATATTGCGAAGTTGGAAGGTCTGACTGAACTTTTAAAAAAACTGGTGGTCACATGGTCTCCCTTTGGGCTTCACAGGTGTGGCAGCCTCCCAGCTGATCGGCGCTGCAGATTCATTCACACTTTCACAGCCTCCCAACTAATCAGCATGGTTCCCAGTCAGGCCCCTGCAGCTCCCCCACCCTGAATGGCAAGTCCGGGGGGGAGTTTCGGGGGGTCCTTGTGGTGAAGGGCTGCCTTCCTCTTCTGGTGCAGCTGCTCGGGGGGGGGGGGGGCAGGGGACAGGATGGGAGAGTCAGCGGTGGGATTTGCCGGTTCGCCGAACTAGAGCAGAATCTTAACATCCAGTTCACACGAACCAGTGCGAACCGGCTGTAGCCCACCACTGTTCAGAGTCCTCAAAAATGTGAATCGAAATCACGTTTAGCTTACTAACAGAGAAATCCTGACTCCTGCAAGTCAAATCTAATTCTCCTGATCATAAAATCTCAGTTGATTTCAAGAAAGACTGTACTTTGTCCTCATGCAAGGCAAGGTGGTGAGTAGCCAGCATCCGGATGCCCAAGCGGGAGGTGAGGGTCTTGTCCAGAAAGGAACGGATCATCTTCTCATCCTGGAAGGAAACAGCTCCTGAGATTCAAAACAACTGCAAAACCTTTCTTCCCACCCAGCTTTCTTCAAATATCCTTCCCCTTGA